ACCATGTGTGGCGTTTGATAGATTTAATGACTGATTCTGCCCCAATCAAATTGTACTCCTTAAACCTATTCATTTGCCAAAGCGCTCTCATATCCTGGATAAAAAAAAAAACTGTTAATCTTTCTTTAAAAAAAAAAAATTTCTTAGATTACTTTTAATAATTATCAAAACTTTTTATTCAAACTAAATTTCAACATAAAAGTACATACTACATAGATACCTACTCAGATATCTAGTTATTGACTACCTTTTTTAGAGACCCACTGGTGATAATATTTCTGCAGAACGTTATGCTTTCATGCTTTTGATGACCAAGCCATGTTTCCTCTGGAATAGTCAATCTTCTCAAAACCTTATTTATTCAAAAGGTAAAAAAAAAATTCAAAGAACTCAAAATTGGAAAAAGAAAATTATTTGGAAAAAATAATATTTCACAAAATGGTAGCTAATTTTGTAAAAACCTACCTGGTTGTCTGCATCAAGATCATTCCATGCTAATTTTAAAGTTTTAAACAGCAGATTATCTGGTCCAGAAGTAATGCTACTTTGATAATTTTTCCAGAAATGTGTTATGTGTAGCTCATTGGCATGATGTCGGCATGCAATAGATAGAACTGGTCGTTGAAAGACTTCATTTACCAGTAAAGATACAGCTCCAATTTTTTGTCCAGCGTTGATTCTGCTAGTATCAAATGTTACAGCTCGTATATTGTCTGTAAGGTTAAAGCAATTTAAGATATATTTGATTGCATTTTTTTGATTTTCGCCAGTTCCAGAAGAAATAGGTGGAATTCCCAACAGGTGCGTTTCCTTGTTAGCGTTTATTAATATTACTAATCGATCTTGTTCCAATTTTTTTCCATCAGTATATTCATGACATACTTTTCCATCAAAATGGAGTTGAACTAAAATCTTCTTATTGATTTTTCTTAAACTTCTTAAATCATCCTTGATCCTATTTGATTCATCATGAATGACCTTATCTGCAGCGCGTAATGCTGTAGAGGTTGAAGATTTAAATTCAGCTACATTTCCACCCGATTTAGCGATTATACTATTAATCATGGAAGCATGCTGCCTATGACTTATTCCTTCCCCAACAGCAATATCAGCAGTTCTCTTGAGAATATCTTTTGGAAGCATAACAGTATTAGTTTTTTTGACTTTTTTCTTTAACTCTGGATCTGGGTATGAAAAATCATCATTACCTTCATCTTTCTCCGATCCATTTGAGCTGAATTCACTCTCTGACATGGTTTCATGCAAATTTGATTTCCTTTTAATTTTGGATAAACTCCTGTTTACAGAGTAAAAGTACCTTGTATTGATTCCACCTATTCTAGTTTTTCTATCTCTTTTCTATCTAATTGGTCTAATAAAAATGCAATATCTTCAGTCTTGTCTTGATCCTTTCGTTTCCTATCAGCTTTAATGATTGCAACCAGAGTATCGAGCTCAGGTGCAATCCAAAAGATACTTTTCATCTGAGTTAAAAAACTCCTCCTTTTTTCAATCTCTGATAAAGTTTGACTTGCTTTGTTTTTTTTAAACAGTTTCCAGTTTCGGATCAGCTTCTCTATCTTTATACTAAAAAAATGTGATTTATAGGTTCGGGATATTTTACAACACATTTATTTCTGTTTATTAACTTATTTAATAGCAGGCATTAGTTATATTAATATTTTCCGCTAATAAGTAATAATATATAAATAAAAAAAACATATACAGTCTGGTACCTACCTAATTGTTTGTAATTGTAAAATCTGAAATCCACCCTTCAACCAAGGTGTAATTAACTTTGAAAGAGTGCAGCAAATATGTTTTTCATTATGGCAGCTGATTTCAAAGTTTTTTGTCAATGGACAGTGGATAATTCTACTTTCTTTTTGTTTTGGGTACTTCTCCTTCAAATGCAAGAAGTATTGCAAAACCTCTTGCTTTATAGCAAACTTGTCTTTTGGTAAGGATGACCTGGATTCCCTTACCAAAAAATGTGTCAACTTTTTTCTTACTTTTTCCTGACATGAATAAATCGGTAGTAAATAGCTTTAATTAGTATATGGAGTAAGTATATCATAAGAGTAATCTATATTTATTTACCGCGTTTTTTTAATCAAAATTAAATATCGTTTTTGTTAAAAAGTAATTTGCATAACATGTTTAAAGCAAATACGCAACATTTTTAAATTAACGCGAAGCGCTACAATTGCATAACTTTGCGTTTTTGTAGATAAATTTACAGAAATTATTTCAATAAAATAAAATTACCATGCATTTTTATTTTTCTATTCTAACTTAGAAAAAAATCTAGAAAAAAAAAAATTCAATTTTTTTGAGTTTTAGTACTTGCTAAAACGTGCAAAAAATGGGCTTAAAAAAGGGTAAAAAAGCCTAAAGTATGACTTTTGAGGCTTTTGAGCAACCCCTAAAAGTGGTCAAAATTTAAAAAAAAAAAAATTCGACTAATAAAATAAGGGTCAACGCAGCAGATAACACTCCGTGGCACTTAAAATTTTTTCATGACCTCAAAATGAAGCAGTCTAATATATATATTTATATATATATATATATATATATATATATATATATATATATATATATATATATATAGGCGATGCTATATATACATGTGTGTATATATATATATACATACAAGGATGCTATGTGTATATATATATACATATTTATACATGTATATATATATACATACATGTATATATATACATGTATATATACATATATACATATATATGCACATATATACATGTACATACATATATATTCATGTATATACACATATATACATGTACATACATATATGCATTTATATATAGATGTATGCATATATATATATACATACATGTATATATACAAATATATATACATACATATATAAACATACATATTTACATATATATATATATATATATATATATATATATATATATATATATATACATGTATATATACAAATATATACATGTATATATATATATATATATATATATATAAATATATACATATATATGTATATATATGTATACAAATATATACATGTATATATATATATATATATATATATATATATATATATATATATATATACATACAAGGATACATATAGGGGATGCTATATATACATGTGTATATATATATATATATATATATATACATACAAGGATGCAAATATATATATATATATATATATATATATATATATATATATGTACATATATATATATATATACATGTGTATATATATATATATATATATATATATATATATATATATATATATGTATATATATATATATATATATATATATATATATGTATATATATATATTTGTATATATGTATATATATATATATATGTATATATATATGTTTATATATATATATGTATATATATATATATATTTATATATATATATATATATATATTTATATATATATATATATATATATATATATATATATATATATATATATATATATATATATATATATATATATATATATATATATATATATATATATATATATATATATATATATATATATATATATATACATTTCCCCTTCCCTCTTCCCCTCTTTTTCTTTAATTTAGTACTGGCCTAGAGACTAATCCAACTTTGTAAACTTTTTAATTTTATTAATGGTTTTGACTAAATCAATGATAAAAATAAAAAAAAAAAAATAACAATAATAACTGAGGAAATAATTATAATTTTTCTTTAAGGAAAATTACGGTGTTAAAGTTGCTGCATTGTGTCCAACAATTTCTGATACACAAATAATTAAAGAGTGTACGATAGCCGAACAGATGATAAAAGATTTAAACATTGTTCCCTTAACTGTAGAAAAAGTGGCGAATGATTTTATTAGAGTATTGGAAGATATGTATAATGAAAATGCAAAAAATGGCGAAATAATGTTTGTTTGCTCAAAATCTAAATATGTGGATGTAAACAAATTTAATTTACATGAGTTAATATTACCAGAGAGTGAATAATCAGATAAAAAAGTATTACATTTAGAAAACTCATTCTAACTCTGTATATAATTATTTATGCATCACTGCGTGCAATATATTTGGGGAGAAGGAGTTGGGTGGCTAAATTAAATATATAATTTGATTTTAAATGTTTTTGGGGTTTTAAAAAACTTTTGTTGCCCTAACTTTGAAATAAAAGTCTTGTTTGGATATTTATTTTAAATACTAAAAATTTGCAAAAATGTGATAAAAAGTCTAACTACCCAGCTAGCACACATGCGTTGATCATACATTGATAAAACGTTATGTAAATGTTGAGCGTTGCGTTGGCCGAACATTATTTTATATCATTTTGGTAACAAATGCGACGTCGCCAACAGTCAAAAATCAACGGTGGCTCAACGCTGTATTTTGATTCGGGATTGCGTAATTACGTGTAAAAACTAATCAAAAATTGACATAAATTGTAATTAGATAATGTTACATATTAAAATAATAATTTTTAAGTCAAAGATTTCAAATTTGTTAATAATTTTTTTTTAACGCGCAGCTTCGACGCGTAAAATGCGCGCTTACGCGTGTTAAAGTTGACTCTACGCGTACACCTTTTTTTTTTTTAGTTTTTAGAATCATCAAGACAAAAACATAATTTTGATATATTATTCTACTTGATATTTTTATAAAAATGGTTTTTAAAGGATGTTGATAGAGATAGAAAAAAATTTTTATATTTTTTTACATTAAATTTGTTATTTACATTACAATTAATTTAAAAACTTCATCTGGTAACGGTTTTCCTCGATAGCTCTTATGTTTTCTAAAAGATATGCTTGATATTTTTGGATCTGATCTTACTAGAAGGTAGTGCATCTGATTCATCATTGTGTTTAACCTTGATATTTTTGCCGTGTGCTTAAGTCTAGAATTTCTTATCTGTTTATTTAAACTCTCTAGTGCATCTTCCGAATATACCCTGATTGGCAAAGGTAATTTATTTGAA